CGCGCGCGGGACTCACACCTATAGGAAATTCAATCCAAAAAGTATCGTTGAACTTCCCAACGAGCCATCGCTCTACGTTTCGAGTGGAAAGGGGCAGGTACACACATTGTATCCCATTTGCGGATGAGGTCCCGTCGACGATCGCTACACAATTCTGAGTCCGACGTGGAGGGCCTCAATCGAGTGGCTCTTTCCTTATGATCGTCCTCGCCATGTGTGCGATAGTGGAATCCCTTGGCCTGGTAGTGCTCGAAGCGGCGACAATCGCTGCACAGAGTATTAGGCCAATGAGGTTCCACTATCGTCCACGGTACGACGATTAGTTCGTTAAAGGGTAGTAACAACGAATAGGGCGGAAAATGCGTACCGATGATAACAAAACCCGCACCGACAAATCCAGAACACCGAGTTTCGAGCGAAAAGAAATAACACCCTCCGATCTTGGCGACGGCTTCTCGTACGTCTGACTCGCATACACGTATCATTTCCCGTTGTACGGGAAGGGCCGCGGCGGGGGCATGGGAAGTTGGCGCCCGGTCGAGTTGGGGCCGTCAGTCCACATGGCAGCGAAGATAAACTCAAAACAGATCTTAATCATACATCACTCCAAGCAATCAGATCATTCAGTCGATCAGCCATACAATGCTATAACAACTCTCTGACACGCCTCGCCGCATGCACATACCAAGTGGGAGAAGCAAGGTTACCATAATTCATCCATTTCAATATGACGTGACCGGAAGAGAGAGAGAGAGAGAGAGAGAGAGAGTATGGACACAAACCGAGTAGGAAGTAATCAGAAATGTCAAGCAACCTGATCCAAATAAGTTCCGGCTTAAAAGCCGAGTGATCGGAATTCACACTTGAAAATACAAATTTAGGGACAAAAGAAACGGAAGCGCTTCTACCATAAGATACCACCATAGCCCCAGGTCATACACTCACTCACTTCCTACTCGAACCTCAAACATCTCGCTTGCACTAACGATCCCAGCCGTCACATGCCAAATCCACCATAGCGATCGTCGCCCCTCCGACTTAGCCTCGGCATGGCCCTACTCGGATCCCACAATCCGTCAAGCGATCCAGCATACCAAGCGTCCAGACTACAGCCAACTCATCGGGACTTTTCAACTCACACCTTCCTTCATATCATCTAGCCACGGCTTCCCAAAAGCGGGCTGATGAGTCGAGAGAGAGATTTTCGTGAGCGCTTGCAGAATTTATAGCTGCGAAAAAAAAGATAGATGCTAGGAAGGGTTAGGACTGAGACAGGGAGGAGTAGGGAAGGGCTCAGGGATTGCCCGACAAAAAACATGTCGATCCTTTGGATCCCAGCTGCAGCCAATCAGAATCGTCGTGTATCAGGAATTTCCTTCTTACACGGCGCGTCTCCTTGACTAAGGGAAGTGAAAGGGGGTCAACAGGGTATTTCGGCACGGGGATCAGAGCGGGAAGAAGAAAAGCGCGAAGAACAGCTTGAAATGGAACCAAGATTCAGACAATCAAGAAGAAAAGAAAAGGCGCGCAAGGTCGAGAGAGATGGAAAACGGTTACAGAGAGAGGAGCATGAGCACGAAGAGGAAAGTGTCGAAGGCAGCGTGGGAAGCGGGGAGGGGAGGCTCGCATGCATGGCGCCGACGTGGAGACAAAAAGGGCACCAAAACAGTTACAGCTATTTCAAATTGAAAAGTATCATATCCGCGCGGTAGAGCAGGCGCGGGAGAAAAATCCTATGCCTATTCAGATTCCTACTAAAGTTCCTAGAGCTTTCCAAGACGAGGTTGAGAACATTCAAGCACAAGAAAAGACATGTGAGATTCCGCTTATTTCGAAATTCCTAACTGTCGTCCCAAATTCCTAGCACGCTCGCTAAGGCGCACGTGATTGGCACGTAATTCCCGAATTTGCAAAAGATGAATTTTCAAAAAAAAATGATCCGAGGGCACCAACATCCCAGCTAGGCACCAACACATCAGCACATTCATTGAGAATATCAAAGCGAGTTATAACTTACACCAAATACTGGTTCATCCCCGACGTTCTTTTTTTTCCCGTTCGGTTTTTTGTTTTATAAAAGCCCAAGCTGTTGTAGAGGTCAAGGATCAAACCCGTGGTGACCGCTGGCAGTGGCGGTCACTGGCAGTGGCGGTCAATGGTTGTCCACATAGGATAGGCCACCTTCCCTACCCTTCCCCATGTTAATTCTCCCAGCGCACCCCCTATCCCTACTATCTTACCTCAGTGTGACCAGCGCTCAGGACCATCACCCTACCAATATTGAGGGCAACTTGGACCAGACAGCAATGACAAGCACCAAGACCAGGCAGCCCCCCAGCCCTAGTGGGAGCGGACGCAGACGAACCTTGCTGGGACCTTCGGACGCCGGTGTCATGGAATCTTTTTTCTACAGGCCCAATATCAAAGAGTCTACCTGGACAGGGCAAGCTGGCGCCCACGGACACATCCTACCATCCCTCCCCTAAGTTACCAAAGGCTAGGCGGAACTCAGACTAGCCGGAGGGACTCGTATCCCTACCCTACGCATGAGCAGACCTTGTCACATACCTGATAGACCCCCCATCCCGGTATACTATAGTTGTATGAGCTTCCCGATGGCTGTGTATGATCATCACAAAACATGCCTTCGTGTATGCCTGCAGGCTATCTATGCTGAGTAACCGCATTGCGAGATGTATGTGCCCAAAGGCCAGATATGTGCAGTACTACGTAGAGGGAACTACGTGTTCTTATGAACAGATAACAGGCCAAGCTCGACAAGAACCACGTCAACGAAGTGTTACCTTGAAAAGTCCCAAGCCAGACTAAACCCGTGATCTATGACATGTGACAGGAAGACTCAACCATATGGACAACAATCGCAAACGGCACCTATGTGCGATATGCTAGATTGGGGAGACCCACGCAGCATTGAGACCCGACATACAACACCATGGACAACCCTTGGGTGGTGCGCAGGCAGTGTCTGTAATAGCTTAGCCGAAGGTTCATCCCAACTTCACAGACAGTAATCCAACAGAGGTATGTCATTGTCACCAAGGAACAATGCAGGGCTGCATACACTGCATGAACATGCCTGCTCCTTCACAGTGCTAGCAGGCATTCTAACAAACATTACCACAAATTGTCACATCTCAAACGAGGTGGTATATTTAACTTAGTTTATAAAGACAAGTGGACCTGCCGCAGCTACGCTGTGGGGAAGGACGATGACAAAACATTTT